AAAAAAGTAATAAAATATAGCAAAGTAATTTACCAAAATCCTGAGCTGCAGCCGTTGGTGAATTCCACCGCACCGTTTCAAGCGTCTCAAACCTCTTCGTAAAGGAAGGTGTAGGAGACGATAAAGATATATTTGTCGTCGGAATGACGACTCCAGGACAAGACAGTCTCAGAGGAAGACTTAAGTCACTTTCTGGTACTGCTGACAATGCTCCATCAATGTTTGAGGGCGGTGCTGTTGTCCACGACGAAAAAGATATTGATTCTAGAGGGTATAGAGTTATTTAACAATAATTTAAGATTTATTATAAATATGTAAAAAAGTTATAAAATAAAACGTAGGTTCTTCGTCTGTAATGGAAATTGAGTTTGCAGATACTCGTTGTGGTGATGTGCAAGGTTCTAAATCACCATCATTAAAATCTTGCGGCAGCATATTATCTAAAATATTCTGGAAACTCTCTATTTATATAAGTTCTATTTCACTATAGAACGTATGTGATGGACGTGTATGAGCCATTTCGATGATTTTACAAAACTAAATATTTTAGTATTCAGCCCTCCTTTTAAACACTTTGAAGCAGCTACTCCAAAAACTGTAGCTTATTCCCCCACCTTATTCTAGTTTTGAATACTCATTTTAAACCAATGGAAAGACTTATTCATCATTCTACAACCCTTTTTACTACATACCCATAGCGTCAGAGGTCTACGATTGCTTGAAAATTTGACTTCTCCCTCCAACTACCATAAGCCAATTGGAAAACTTAACTTCTATCACGTGTGAATGTCTGCAGGTGAGGGAAATTTCATCCCTCTTAGTGCGCGGGTACAAATTTTCTCTCCCTAATAATATACTGCGGAGAACGCCCTAAACGGTCCTCAAGTGTCATAGTCACACTATTCGAATTAGTCAAGGAGTAAAGGAGTTAAACCACAAGCTCGCACAACGCATAGGTCGAGACACACTCATCAAGGTATGGTAAAATTTTTATAACTACTTTTTTATGTAATACTTTTTTCTATATTTCACTCGAGACGCAGCAATGATGTTGAGAGTTTTAGTTTTCTATACTTATTTCACTCGAGACGCAGAAATAATGTTGAGAGTTCTACTTTTTATGTTTCACTCGAGACGCAGAAATGATGTTGAGTTCTACCTTTCTATACTTCGCATTTATAATTTTATTTGTCTAGCTTTGTAAGAAGCGAAAACTCCTTAATTTATTTCATTTTATTTTTTTCAGCATAAATATGGTAAAAAGGACTACTGATGGTGATATAAGAAGATATCAGGAACGTCTGATTTTTCGTGCTTTGCAACGACACATAACTTATTCTGAACAACAACCTCCTGAACTCATATCAATGGATCTTTCTGCAGGAGAAATGCCAGAAGTAATGGTAGAAGAAGAAGAAAAAATCGCAGCACCAATAAAATCAACAGCTAAAGAAGTAGAGGCAGCGCCAACAGCAGCATCATATGAAAACGGTAAAGTAGAAAAATTTACTTTTGCACGTTTGAAACATAATCTTTAACTCCCTGATGTGCACTATATGTAATACAATAATATATACGCCTCAGGTAAAAGTTAAAATAAGCCAATAATCTTACTTCAGTTTAAATTACATAATACACGTAAGCACAAACTTAAAATTTTAGCTACTTCATTACTTAAGATGTATACTATAGTTGTTTTCTAAATACTTTTCAGAAGAAAAAATGCAGTTTTCCCAATGCGAATGGTTAGATAATATTGATTTACAATCACCACTTTCACCATAATGGGCATCATGGTTTTGCGAAAAAAACTGGGACGAACTATTGGAGTCAGCACCGGGAGTAGTAAAAATAGGAGCAACTACTGCTACAGCCGTATGTAAGGACAACGATGAAGTTTTAAAGTCTGTATTTGCCCCAACTATGACCGGAGAAAATATACCCCTCCCGTCAACGTCATCACCACTGCCACCATCACTCGCAATAAATTCTCTATTGCCTGAAAATTTTGAGACGTGGTCTGAAGAGGATAAATGTACGCTTACGGAAAGAGTACACATATCTTTAAAAAAAGAAGAAGACAGAATAATAGCTCGGGAGAAAAAAAAATGATTAAGGAGAGAGAAAAAGGTATTGACAAGTTATAAAAAAAGAGGCTTTGAAAGAAAAAAAAAA